CAACCCTCACATAGCAAGTGTCCCATCCTCAACCTTGCTAAGTATAATACCCGCCATCAGTCCAGGAATATAGCGCCTCCCCTCCACCCACTGCCTAATCAGCGGCCTGATCTGCAACGCAAAAGCGCTGTCCGGACCACCGGCAATCTTCATGGTCCCATTCTCCCCATCGAAAATAATACACTCCTCGACCTCATCACTATCATTGCCCATATTCAGAGACAACGCGACCTTCCCGTTAGGTTTAAAATCCGTCTTCCACCCCAGCAAGCTGAGCACCGCTTCTCGGAACTCGAGCGATTTCTTACCAAAGATCTCTTTGAGGCGGAGCATGCGCTTTTCCTTGTCTTTGACTTGCTGTTCCAACTCCTGCATCTCTAGGCGCAGGCTTTCCAGAGTACTATGGGGAACGACTTTGGTGCCAGCGGCGTCATAGCGGGACTCGAGTTGGGCGAGGAGGTCTTTGTTTTCTTGTCGTAGGGTTTTGAGGGTGCTTAATTTTGTGGTTCCGAAGGAATCGGTTGGGTTTGAGCTGAGGGATAAGATGCGCGTTTTGGCGGATCGTTGGAGAGAGGACAGTTGTGTTTGCAGGGCGGCATGTTCGCTTTGGAGGAGGGCATAGGTGGATTGCGCACTCGAAAGAGCGTCTTGCAATTTGCGATTTTTGCGTGAGAGTTGGCCTAATTGGTGATCGTCTGCATCTTCCTCTCTTGGGCGCTTGAGTGGGCTTTGCGGTACAGCAGGTGCGCGCTTTTCGAGAGTCGAGAGCTCAGTGTTGAGGGTTTGGAGTTCGGTGCGGTGTTGGTCGACAAGAGCTTCGAGGTCCGCGATACGTTGAGATTTGATGGTATCGAACTGATTCTCGGAATGATAGGTCTGCTCTTCGCTGTCGAACGTGCGTAGTTGCTCTCGGAGTAGATCAACCTCCTTGACTGCGAGGGCCCGCTGCCGCTCAAGACGCGTCTTTGCTCGACTGTCATTACCACTTGCACCGCTACTGCGTAGCTTCTCCATTTCAGAATGGATCTTGCTGCGTTCTTCCTCTAGGCTCTTGATAATCTCATCCTTCTCCAAAAGCTCTGGCTGTACGGCTCCTATCCTTTGCAAAAGCGACGCATTCTCCAGTCGCTCCTTTACAAGAGCTCTAGCCATGTCTTCAGGTGAGTCAATTTCAATTTTGCCAGTCCCACCTTCGTTCTCAAGATACGACGTCCATGAGCGTCGTTCATCCTCGAGTATCTGCCGCTGGAGCTGTGCTTCCCTGAGCTTCTTCTCAATGTCGCTCATCAGACTGACTCTGTTCTCCAACGCTCTCTTCTCTTCCTCCACAACTTCAATGGCTTTGTGGACACGGCGGAAATGCTTCAACTCAGCATTTTGCTCTCGATTCGTAGATTCCAATTTCCTGATATGCATTACCTGCTCGGAAAGCTCCCTTTTGATAACAGCCAAAGTATCCGCATCAACAGTCTGCGCTTTGAGCCTCAGGATCTCGCTCTCGAGCTGTCCAGTCTCAGTCTCTCGCTGGGAGAGCCTCTCTTGTGTCGTATGTAGAGCCGAGTCTTTATTCGCCAAGTCATCCCGGAGAGCGCTCAATGTCTTCTGCAACGTGGAATGCTTCGACTCGATTTCCTGCAATTGATGCTTATGCTGGCGACTCAGACCTTCGAACTCTGTCTGCACCTCCTCAGATTCTTCTTTCGCCACCCGACCCTCTTCCTGCGCCGTCCGCAGCCTCTTCTCGAGCGCGTTCTGCTGATTGATGGCTTGGTCTTGAGAGTCCTTCAGCTCGCGCTTCAGGGCGTCGTATTTGTAGTTGGGCACGTGTCTACTGCTTTCCTCTGCCTACATGACAACCCCCCTTCTTAGCAATCGTAGATTGCATTCATCTCGCAGGAACCTAACGTACCTGTGCCTTTCTGAACACCTCCTCAGCCTTGAGTTGTACATCTCTCAGCTCCTTATCATGTCTCAATTTCGAGAGCTCCCTCTCCTGCTTGAACGACTCTAACTCATACTGCAGCGTCTTGACCTGCGCTCTTAGATCCTCGTTGCCGATATCTGGCTTGGCGGCTTGGGACTGTCTGAAGCTCTGCCCCAATGGCTCCCGCTGCCCAGACACTGAGGGCGCAACTACAGAGTTGCCCGCGAGAAAGTCGTAAGTCGGTTGGGTATTAGCGATACGACTTTGGGCGATCTAAGAACCTTCGTTAGCATCATGCCCCTGCATTCGCGCCGCGACTAAGAGGGTCAACGAGCAACTTACCCTCGAGTTCGCCATAGGAATGCCTGTTTGGCCGCCCCCAGCGCTCGGTCTCCTTGAGCGCGATCCTGATTGTTCAAATGCTTGATTACTACTGCGCCGAGCTTGGCGCAAGGGTGGAGAGCTCATCTCTAGAGTTCAGCGCCGGTTTTGACGCGCTTTGGAGGTGCTCACTTGAATACGAAACGGATACTCCCTACTTTCGCCTGATTCGAGATGGGTTCGGCGCGGTTTTAGCGTATGGATAGGGCATCGCGCTAAGCCGAATGCGTCCCGATATGGGATCCTTACCTAAGTAAGGTAGAAGACATTGTCGCTAATCTGTGTCAGGCCCTTGTTCACTCCTCGGACCTCAACACTCAGTGCCATCCTTATCTCTTTCGTCTCTGATTATTCTGCCCGTATCTTTCGTCTTACCAAGAAAAACGGGAGGCATGTCGATGCTTTGATATGGTTGGTGCCCGCACGAGCAATCGCTGCGTTAATTGTCGAAGACGGAAAAAGAAGGCATGTCTCCTTTCATCTCTAGAGGTCTTGTCCAGTCGAAGATTGACTTTTTCAGTTGTTCAAGACGAAATTTACTGAAAGAACAGCCAATCTAGTGCGGCGAACAGAAGCCGTCGTGCTCAGAATGTGTTCGGGCAGGATGAATCTGCCCAGGGTATAAGACTTCGTGGAAGTTCGTGGACGAAGCTCCTCGATTGGCGGAACACAATGCTAGAAGACAATACATTTACGATGACATTGATCAGAACCTGCAGGAGGAGGGTGTGAGATTTGATGGCGCAGTAATCGTGTGGAAGACTTCCACTTCTCCCCATGACAAAGAGTGCGCTACGCACGCCTGAGGTACCTCGATATCTTGAGAGTAATCCCCTTGGGTTATCGCTGGTGTACTGCTTAGAGAGCAAGGTGAAGGGAACGTTGGTTCCTTTGTGGCTTGTTGGGTCATTCTTTCAATTTGTCCCGGCTCGCATGGGTCGCAATGCGGTCCTCGACAACGCGGTATCGTGTCTTTGTGGCATCTATTGCTCTCCATTTAACTCTCATACTGGTGTTTACCAGAATTACGTCAGAGCTGTGTCCTCTTTGCGCGGCTGTCTTAGCGATACGTCTCTCCGGATGGAGTCAGAGACTTTATGTGCATCAATTATGCTATAGATGTGTGAGGTGAGTTTTGTCCACGCAACGTCCATCGACCAGAAATACGGCTGAATGTAACTGACCTTTTTGAGCTCGTTGTTAATGTCGATAGAGGACAATGGAGTCAGCTTGCACATGGAACGACCGCTTTTCCCTCTTTCGTGGCGTGCACGGATATACATGTGCTTTCGACCACTCAATGCTAGAATCTCAGCTGAGTGTTATAGTATGTACCACATATACTAGCCCTATCGTTTTAAGGTGCGTACAAAGTCTGCTGACGTCTATTCTTTCTGATATAGTGTAGTCAGTCCTTGAAGTCCAAAGAACATTGTTTCCTACGCTCCCCAGGATGGCAAGCTCTCATATTACAAAGTCCAGTCTGGCCTTTTCAGAACTTACAGTCACAAATTTTGGGCTTACGGCCTCGGCTCCTTATTATTTTAGTCGACTTGCCAAGCTTGGTCGTACATTGTTCGAGGATTTCTAAGGATCAGATACATCAGATGCGATGGGATGGTCGATTAGACTCGCTGCTGCATCAAGCATCTAAAATGTCTGATGTTTTGAAGAAATGGATTACCGCCGAAGCCGAGCCCCTGTTCTTATCCAATGCCTCATCACAGCGAGTCTCCCAAGGGTACATAGAGTATCCAGTTGTTGTATCCGGTGTTTTGGACTGTGTCGCAAACACAGCACTCCTCACTATTGGCAACATATTGCGCTTTCTGTGCCATGCAAGACTACGATCGAGCGGTCTGCCGGGACGAAGCGAGCAACATCGGCTGGAAACTAGTCCGCTTCTCGACAGTCAGGAGACCATCGAACAACAGCGTCAGCGTGCAAGGACAGCCTTTGAGTTTGTTCAGGGAGAATCTGAGTTAGCTGCTAAACCCCTTGATTTTGGCTTGCGACAAAGCCATTCTAGTGGTTTTAGTGGGTCGATTGACGTTCTAGACGACGAACCAGAGGGATACGTTGATTTTGGACTCGGTGGAAGTCATTGACTATTTGGAGACTCTATGTCGATGTATGAGGTGGTCATAAAACTTGCACGGTTTGACTAATTCCTGGGCGCCAAAGATGTCTGATAACTCCTCCTTGGTGCTGATCTTGCAGAAATATCCAAGATTTGTACCGCTGTGAGGTGCCTAAAAAGGGTGTCAGTCGAAGCGGCGCAAACCTTCAACATTTCCGCGCAGAAAACACCATCGAAGCATTGTCTCCTTATTCAATGCCCAAAAGCGTGCAACTTCAGTTGTGACGACAGTCTCACCTACGCAATGCGCCGAAGGAGCTCTCCAGCTCTCTCTCTCCAACCTTACACAATTGACTGTAGGGAGAACATCAAATATTATTGTTAGCAGCCCCTCTCACAGCGAGTCAAGACTCGCATCTGCTTGAATTATACCTGTGGACGATGCCATCTTCCGCGATGACTCCGAAATGCTAAGCGTGGGGAAATCTCATTTTCGTGATCAGCATAAAGAACACCGAGTAGACCTCTGGGTAATCGAGCATGGCACTGGAGCCCCGCGATGCGCTCTGAGGAGCAAATTGTGTCACTGGCTGAGAGGTTCTGTTTATAACATCAATGGTGGACGAGAAGGTGGGTCCTTCGGCAAGTGGCAAGATGATGGTGATGCGCATGACGGATAAGGAGAGGAACGACGGTCATGCGAAGGCTGGGAAGGCTGGAACTGCGAAGGATGCAGATGAGAAATCGGAGATTCCCCAGCCACGGCGTGCAGTGTGAGCTATAGAACCGCACGGGCCCCTGACTGATGTACTCTACTTTGGGCGAACTTGATCCCTGCCGGGATGAAAGTTGACGACATCACGAGTCGCTCTTCCGGATCTCTTGAAAGAGACCTGGCTACGATAATGGAGCTTTGGTTGACCATAGGCTCAAGGTTCCAAAGCCAACCACGCAGATGTGCACCGCTGCAACATGATACGGAACCCATGACCGAGCGAAAACACTCACATTCGGTATCACAGATCGATAGACCACGTTGCAAGCTTTGATCCTTTCAAAGGCACAGTCACCGTCGGCTGCCGGGATCAGGTACTCACATGTCTTCGCTGTCAACGAGATCGGACGTCAGCCAGCGCATCACGAAGTTTGTCAGATATACTGCACCACGTCACCACAATCTAGCCAGAGGAACCAGCACGAGAGTCAAACAGTATTCGCTCGGGGCATTCAAAAAGCCTCCATCCCTCCATCTCCCAACTCTCCTCAAGGATTTCCAGACCACGCAAGAAACCCTCCAACAACTCAAGCACTCAAACACCATGCCGTCTCCTCCCGACTTCAACGAAAAAGCTTCAACCCAGCCAGACCAAGCGCAAGAAGAATCCACGCCAACAACAGCCGATCAGGCCAGCGGGCCCCAGAACGCCAACATATTCGATCTCCAGCAGACCATCGTAAGCACTGCCCCCCCCAACCTCCCTCCAGACATGATTCCCCTCTGCTACATACATCCACGCATCCACACTCGACTGAGACCGCCTACCCCACAGCGAAGATTGGAGGCCCGCGAAGCGCAGCTCGAGGCCCAAAACGCGGCCCTGAAGAAAGAAGTCGAGGGCCTGAGGACGAAGGAGCGCGAACTGCAGATGACGATGCGGGAGACGCAGATGCATCTGGACCACAGCAGGGGATTTTGAAGACGGAGGAGGGGTCGTGGAGGTTTTGGGCGAGCTACGCGTGGGTGGGTTTCGGAGTGCGAGGGTGATGGACGAGATGAGACGAGAGCAAGATGGCGAAGGGCTGATGATCACGGAGCATACCGGTCTGGTAATTATCATGACTTGGTCAAGACCTGGTCGATGAGACTCGTCCCTACCCGAGAAGCGAGACGCTCGAACAACGCACTCTGTATGCTGCTTCGAACGTTTGCGCAATGATAGTTGGATACAGTAAATCGAGATAGTTGCGAAATTTCCTTATTGCATGGTAGGCTACATGGTAAGTATAATTCTTCCCAATCAGACGCTCCAGATCTACTTATAACAGGAGCAGAAACCCAGAGTGCCAACCCACCGTTTCCTCTCGAATGCCGTGCATGCGGTATCAAACGCGCTGCTGGAGCGAGAGGCTCGGAAGCGTGCCTTGTTCCCACCGCTTTGCTTTTTCCCTCAACTCTGCTTCTTCTCCCAGCTTTGCCGCTTCTCTCTGCTTCGCTCTACCCTGAAGCCGTCTGACGCGATCGTCAACCCCGTTTGCACTGAAGTGGTGTTGCAGCCCGCCCCACGTCTTCTCCATGTTTTCTCTCGCGCGCTCAAACATGGGTCCTTCGTATTCTTGTAGAGCGTCGGCCAGATTGTCGGGTAGGTCAGCTTCGAAGTTGACCTTTCGCTTCAGCAGCACTCTTGACAGGTCCAGGGCGTCGGCCAGTGCTGCGTTCACTCCGACACCCGCGAATGGGGTCATGAGACGTGCAGCATCCCCAAGGAGAGTTACACCAGGGCGTGGTGACCATTTCGAACCAACAGGCAGCATCCATAGTGGTCTCGGAATAAGCCCGTCTCAAATCCTCAACCGCAATGATACGCTTCAGGTCGTCGTGACAATCGCCGAAACAACGTTCGGTGAAGATCTTTTGGGCGAGATCCCGTTGGTCCCAGTCTATGCCACAGTCCTTGACTCAGGTCTCAGGCTGGCGAACGGCCGCATAGACCCGAATGCTGTCGTTGCCATTTCGTTGGCAAACCAAAGCTCGGCCTTCATCAAACATGAAGCAACTCCCCTGGCCAGTGAGGTTCGAGAGCCACCATTTCTTTGCGCTGACTTCCATAGCCTTCAACTCGATCACAGAGATGCCCGAATAGAATGGCAACTGATCTGTGAGAAGGGTCCGAACTCTGGACCAGGTGCCGTCAGCACCCACCACCAGGTCGAAGCCCACTTTCACGCCATCTGCGAAACGGAGATTGTATTCGGTATCGGGAGCCTCGGCCGATTCGACGCGGATAAGCTTTTTATTCCATTGAATCGAATCAGATTGGATCGAGTCCAAAAAGATGTCACGCAACCTGGCGCGGTCGATCTCGGGTCGCTCTCCTGAATGGCCAGTCCCGGCATCGTTCGCGTCGTTCTCGTCCCAGAAGACTCTGCCATCACTTTTCACCCAACTTCATCGCCTCAGCAGCGGGAAGCGAGTGTTCTGGAAATCTTCGAACAGGCCGGCTTCGCGCAGGGCAAGCTGGCCCATTTCGCGATGCCGATCTGCTATGCCTCCTTGGTCTCGGGTGAAGCGATCCTGGTCAAGCTCGAAAATGGTACACTGCATTTCCATCGTGCTGAAGGATGCGAGGGAGCGGCAGACCTCCGGGACCAGCTCCAATTGTGGCAATGCGAGGAGCAGACATGATTGGTTATTAGATGAAAGGTCTCTTCTTGTGCTGGAAGGAGATGCAAAGACAGGCTTGAATGCTGTGAAATGTCAGGTTAGAAGGATCAAGCAAGGTTTGTCTGTTGTTTTTATATTGTATTGAAAAGGAATCGGCTTGTCGAAGGTTGTGTTCTATTGGCCGATAGCGTCCTTTGTTTTTTGTACTCGGAATTCCGGGAAACGGAATGCCGAAGCATGACATGTCTGCCTTGTTTCTAAGCTCCAGACAGTCACATTGTGCGACGAGGCAAATTGGGAGATACCTACATATTTTTGTTGAATAGACATGGGCAGGAAGGCGGTTCCGGCAAACTAGTCGTACTATCGAAGTAAGCTACCTCGCTTGATAGCGCCGGGAGAGTTGACCAATCAAACTACTTAGTTCACCGCGAAAATCGTAGTTTGATTGGTCAACTCTCCCGGCGCTATTAAGCGAGGTAGCTCTCTTCTGGATAGTACGAGTAGTCGAGTACGCTATTCTATTAGCTGCATAAAAGCCGACTTCCTATTGGCCAGCGCGCAACTCCATCTCAATTGAACTGCCCGAAACACCAAAATATCATGAGGCCGGAACCCTGTATGACCGGTGTGTAGCCGACTATCTAGCACTCAACAATTTTCACGCGGAACTTCAGTCGGACGATCCCCCTGCGCCGTGAAAATGCACACAAGAACCGTCCGCTTCCCACAAACCCCGCTGAAATCTTCTCGCCCCATCTCCACCAGCTTGCCATGTCATCCCCGACACCACCTTCCATCGGCGTCATCCTCTGTTCCTCACGACAGCCACGCGTCTGTCCCCAGATCGCAGCCTTCGTGACCGAAACCATCGAAACCCGCACTTCCCCCTCCCCCCCGGACCCGCACGCGGCGCCACCACCACCACCGCCGCCGCCAGCCCATCTCCACACCATCGACCTCGCCGCATGGAACCTCCCCCTCTTCGACGAGCCCAACATCCCCTCCCAGATCACCGCGCCGTCAGGGTACAGCCGACCGCACACCCGCGCCTGGAGCCAGGAGGTCCGGAAGCACGCCGCGTTCGTCTTCGTCCTGCCGCAGTACAACTGGGGATACCCGGCCGTGGTCAAGAACGCCATCGACTACCTCTTCCACGAGTGGCGCGGGAAGCCCGCGATGATCGTGTCGTACGGCGGCCACGGGGGCGGCAAGGCCGCGGGCCAGCTGCGGCAGGTGCTCCAGGGCGTGCGGATGCATGTCGCGGAGACGATGCCTGCGCTTGCGTTCCCGTCCGAGCGGTTTGTGCTTCGGGCGAGCAAGGGGGAGGAGTTGCCGCTGCGCGGAGACGAGGGGATCTGGCGGTCTGAACGGGCGGTGGTTCGTGAGGCGTTTGAGGAGTTGATGGCCCTTGTGTCTCGACGGTAGGCTTCGAGGGGCATCGACACGGATTGGGAGCCGGACCAGAGGAGGCTGGAAGAAGGGGCACTCGAAAGATTATGGATCAGATAGCGATGATGATAATTTCCGTTGTTCAACGCCCTTCATGAAGCACTCTCAGCCCTGAACGATAGAATTAACGATAGATTCTCTAAAAAGCTCAATCCTCGAGCGTGGAAATACGGGCTTGTGAGAATCCCGTCCCGTACCCAAAAGCTCTTCCGGTTTTCCAAAATCACCCAGAAGAAAAAATCCCATCCAGATCCATGAGTCCCAAGAAACCCCATCCAGATCCATAAGTCCCAAAGACTGTATCCCAAAACAAAGTACGAGCCTCTCTTCTCCATAAAAAAAAGCAGCATATACAGCCGGCGAATCCATCACCCAGGAACGAGTAACCCGGATAGTGTCGAAGCGGAGAACCGGGTGGAAGCTTATCCGATGCGGCATCATCTGCTCCGTCTGTCGTGATGAGAGAACCAATTGATTTTTCTTGCCGAACATCGAGTGAGAGAGCAGGTCATGACCGGGGGGGGGGGACTGGCGGTGATGGAGCGATCCCGGCGTGGCGTATGCCAGCACAGACAGACGGGGAATGGTTGGCTGGGTTGGCGTTTTGTCTGTCCATCCACCTCGAGGTAGCGGAAGCGGTATTGCATCAACATGGTCCATGTAAGGGAATCTCTATCCTTGTGACATGCGTCATTGGGATTCGCAAAAAGGAGCAAAGCAGCAGCAGGTTTCCTAGGCACCAGTGCCGTTTCTCGCATTGTTTGATATTGTACACATCAATACATCAATACATCAACACCTTGCTTCTCCTTCATCCTTCACACCCCAGCGCGCCTCGACAACCAACGCGCTCATAAGCTGAAGCATCTAGCTGAAGCCACCATCAGGAGCAAGAGTAAATGGGGTTTTCAAGAAGCGAACAAGATACCCAGAGCCACCAAGGGCATCTGTGACATGATTTAGAAATTAAGTAGAGCAAGCACAACATGAAGAAATCATCAAAGCGCCATTAGAAAGGAGGCAAGTCTGGAAGGGAAATATGGCCGACTCGGATGTGTAAAAGCATACCCGTCTAAATTTTCCCGTGGGATTTGCCATCCATCCGTCCTTTCCGCATTTACAACGCCTAGCGTGTGTATCATTTACATTGCTTGCCCTGGGACTGGTTTCCGAGCCATCATGCTCTGCGGTGGTGACTGGGTCAAAGATTGGTCGGGCGAAGTCAGGGTTTGCAGCTGCATTGGCACCCTTTGCACATTAGGGTTCAAGCCGCTTGGACCTGGCGGGCTATTCCTTCGGCTGCTGACCTCACTGACAGAATTACTCCGTCGCTTGCTACCGGGGGTCGGGATTTTGGCAGGGCGCTGAGGGCCCCCACCGTAAGGTCCAGGCGACATTGAGCGCTGTTGGCTGCCGGCATTGTAGGGTCTGGGGGCTCGGCCTTGGCTGTGAGGGTTTGGCGAGCCACGGCCACTGGCTGGCGACTGGGGACGTTGCTGGCCAGGACCAATCATTCCTGGTGGAGGCCCTCGCGGGCCTGCTCCACGTGAACCTGGTGGGGGGCGAGGCTTAACAGGACGAGCCGAGAGACAAGTGCGAGGAGCGACGCCTTGTTGTGAGCGGTCCAGACGAATGCAGAGAGCCTATGAAATAGTGGTTAGCAACGACTTTTTAACAAACTGCTATGTACAATATGGGAGCGCTTACCCAGCCGTCATCATACTCGTGCAAAAGTCTAACAAGCTGACCAGCACGAAGACCCAATTCGTCGTCCATGGAAGGCTTGAAGTCAAGTTGGATGCGGTGAACATTGCTTGGAGCAGGGCCATTGACCATAGCTGCTGCTGGCACTGATGTCTGGCTGAACTCGGAGGCAGCAGGGCTTGACGCTGCGGGAGAGACTGAACGTTTGGGAGTGAGGTTGAGAGGCTTTGGAGCATTGTGACGTTCGGCAATTTGGGCAGCAGCGAGACCTCCGGCAGCACCAGCGATGGCTGCTCCTGCAACAGCACCTGCCTCAGGAGTCGGGGTTCGGATTCGAAGAGGAGCTGGAATAGCGTCATCGGGCATCGAGCGCGTACCGAAGTCGGTTTGTGGTAGGACTTCCGCGTTGTTGCCAAAAGGGTTCTCAGCTGCGTTGTTCTGAATTGGCAGTCCCACTTCCTTCTCAGATGAACCTTGAGACTTTCGCGGGATCTCCGCATGATTTCCAAATGGATTCTCCGGGTCGTTGTGACCTCTCGAGGCTGCTGCCCCCACACCTGCACCTCCGACTGCACCCAAAGCCGCAGCTGGGGTAGCGCCGTTCATGGCCTTTCCACGGGCTGCCATGTCAGGCATGAACTGCGTTATTGGTCTCAGGCTCAACCGTGGTGCAGTAGCAGTAGTCCTCGTAGACGCTACGCTTTGCGAACGTTTCAATCCTTCCATGTAGGCCGCTTTCTCATCGTCGGCCTTTGTGTAGTCGCTATTGGCATGCTTTCTCCTGCGGCGAAAGCAGAAGAATAATAGTCCCAACAGAAGCGCGACTGCTAGGAGGATGCCAATTGCCAAGCCAGCCTTTGCGCCGCTCGACATGCCACCGCCATTGGATGAGTCGGATCCAGCGGTGGAGGTTGGTTTGGCTGAGCTTGAGGTAGCTTCGATGAAAGAGGAGCTAGACGACGTTGACAGTGAAGAGGCTGAAGAGGATGCCGTGGAGGAGGAGGTTGGCTGCACGACTTCCTTCTTGATAGTACTGCTGGTGGTAGAGGTTGAGGAGGTCGAAGAATTGGAAGTGGGTGTTGTGCTCGTGGTCGAGCTTGTGCTGGTATCCGTATCTGTATCGTCTACCTGGACCGGGGTAGGAGTCGGCGTAGGAGTCGGCGTAGGAGTCGGCGTAGGAGTCGGCGTAGGTGTCGGGGAAGGAGTCGGCGTAGGTGTAGTGGTAGTAGGAGATACCACAGCCGCATTATTGTCGTTGTTGTTTTTGTTGTTATTCGAATTGGAGTTATCAGAGCTCGAGGTATCGTCAGGCGTAGCTGGAGCCGTGATGTAGCCGCCGACAGGCCCATCAAACGTCTTAGCAGCAGTCTGGTAGACATACTCCACCACCGTTGATCCCTGACCGTCTTGTCGCTTCATCTCATGGTGCTGGTGCTGATGATGTTGATGCATTATGATGGAGCGGTCTGCTTGCGCAGTGCCCTTGTATTAAGTTGGATGTACTAGGATAGGATTGACATATGTCTGCTGGCTTGTGAGCGGTTGAGGTCGCACAGGAGTGGTTCGTTGGTATGGCACGAAAAGTGGTGAGTTTGATCCGCGTTTCACCTTTGCGAAAAATATAAAACAGAAAAGATACTGGTGAGGGCTGAAGGAGTGAATGAGCCAGCTGAACGTCGATAAAAGAAGGGCGACGAGGAGCGAAGGCCGTAGTTGATGGGTTGGGGATTCTTGTGAAGAGAGGGAGGAAGAACAACAAAAAACAATGAAAGGGATGTGGAGTATGAGATAGAGAGTGAGAAATGGGAGAGCTACTCGTATAATGGCGGCGGAATTAAAATTGGCTGCTGCGCACTGCCAAGGCTAAAGCTAGATTGACCAATGAGAATGAGGGTCAATTTCGGGTCGAGTGTCGATCTTACGCTGCTAAAGTCTGCTAGTCAGGTACACGTCTCGCATAATCTAAGGTACAGTACTTTATCTTCAGGGGTTCACGCTCATATGCTTATTACGTTACGCGCTCAACCACAGAAGCTCGACGCTTTGCTTCTCTCTAAAGTAGGTACCGCAAGAATTCCACCACAATACCTAGATCGAAGAACATCAAAAACTTGGTTCACGTGCCACGAAGAACAGTAACTTTTGGCTTAAACAGCGGCTTTGGTGTACGAGTTTACGACTTACGAGTACTAGTACTATCTGGCAGTTGGCTTGGCTCGTGCCTTGGCACTACGAGGGTGGTGTCACTACGCACTACGGTATTGGTGGTATCAGAAATTCGGAATCCGTCGCTGAAACTCCCCTTTGCTATTCTGCTTGCGAGTAACAGTTCGACTGATGAAAAAATTAATATCATTTTGATGTGATGCGTCTCTCAACTTCGACGTCGAGCTATTATAGAAAAGAATAATGCGAGGAACGCACGGTCTCGATATTAGTAGCATCCCGTACACGTACACCCCATCCGTCCGCTTCAATTAGCTATATACTTCCCACTCATCAATTTCCTATGTACCGGCACCTCCTTCCACGTTCCTGCACCACTCGACGAAGTACTTTCGTCCGCGAAAGGATCACTACCTCCCTCTTCTTTGGAGCCCATCTGGCTAAGGCTTAATCCACTGCCAAGTCCCACTGCTGCGTCACCACTGATCTCCCATCGCATCTCGACGTTCCCAGGCTTTGCTTCACCCTCAGTGCTGAAACGCGCGAGAAGCTTCTGCGGCGCTTCCGCATAGCCATCAAGAGTCATGTCTCCTAGCTTCCAATATATAAGTGACCTGTCTTTTGAGAAGATGCCCTGAGGCTTTGACTGGCAGCTGAGTGCCTTGGCATTCTCCACGTTGATGAAGACCACGACGTTTTTGAGCGACACACTCCTCTTAGCAGGCGAGGAAAAGGCAGGGTTGAATGCATAGGTAAGTATAACAGAAGCTTGCGTTGGTTCAATCCTCCAGCTTGGTGTGATCGAGACAGGCGCGTGTGTAGCCAGAGACGAGTCTTCAAGATGGACCTGGTACTTGAAAGCTACCGACGGGCGAGAAACCTGGGAGACGTTCACCGAATATTCGCCGGATCTGGATGGGACTTGGGAGATGAAACTAGGGTTTGGTGCTACCTTCTCCAGAACAGGAAAGTTCTCCAGTCTTATATTCTCCGATCCAGACGAAGACGTTGTTTCACTGGGATTGTGTTGCAAGGCGAGCTCTCCAATGACGACTGCCTTGACGAGTTCGCTCTTCTCGAAAGTCGCACTCACGGTCTCGGCAATC